TTTTCAAATTAAGTCTGAATTAAACAACACTAGGCTTTACGTTTAAATGAATGATTAATAAGTAAAAAATCCTTTTTTTAAAATGATCACGGAAATTATTGGAATGCTCGTCCTCTCATCCTCGGAGTCAGAACTAAAAAGAATGCGCATCCTTTTCTTGCTACGACACCCTTTCAAGAAGTTTTCCTCTTCACTATCCGAAGATCCTTCTGTCTTTCCACTTTCAATGCAAACTTTCACTCTCATCTACGCCTTACACTCTCTGCAACGAAGCAAATATATATGAATTGTTTATGAAATTAGCTAGTCCGTCAATTTGACGGGTTTCGTAGAGATAGGTATACTACATACAGATTTTAATAATTAGAAGGCTTAGGAAAAAATAATTGTGTGTACAAATCCTTTGGATGAAATGATTAATTTACGATACAAAAATGGTTAAAATTAATGCTATGGTTATTTCGGTATTTCTTTTCGAAGTTTGAATTCCGTCAAATTGACGGGTCCCGTAAACCTAGTGTTAAATTATTTCCTCCGCGTGATTTCTGTTTGAAATACTCAGGAATTTCGATTATCAATGACACAGGTGACAAGTCATTTCGAGAAACGACTTATATAGTCCACGCAAATAATTCGAGAATATCTAAAGCAAGAGCGCCCCGACGACCGGCGGCGAAATAATACTTCAAAAACCTCGTGGTACTCAGTGACCTCGAAACCGTTGTTGGCGTCGAGACGCTGTTCTTCGCACGCGTTCACATCGAATTCTACCAATCTCAGAACCACCACAAAAACCATTTGTACGCAGACAGCGCAAATTTTCAGCATTCTGAGACGATTTTAGGGAATTTTTTAAAACACTTTTTACTTAATATCAAGTTAAAGTAATTGCAACTTTCATCGTACGGTTTTAATCTTTCAACTTGTTACGCAACTTAGGGATGTGATAGCGGCATCTGAAAGCTCAATTGTTCATAAAACTTTTCTACAAACTGAGTATCTCAAATGGTTTCATACTTTAAAACGTGAATATGGAGACCCTAAGGTAGGTCCTGAAACTCCCGAAATTTCCTTTCTTATAAACTATTTGTAAAATACCTATAAACAAATTTGAAAAGAATTGAAATTTCATGAGTTTCAGGACCTTCCTTATAGTCTCCCTATTCACGTTGTAAAGTTTCAAACTATTCGGTAAACCGAATTGAGAGAAAAGCTTTATAAACAAAACCTCTTCGACGCCACTTTCACATCATCTTAATGGTACGCCGAGAAAAAAAGTGCATGGAACTAAAGAATTGTTTGAATAGTACCAATGAAATATTCTGTTAATCCAAAGAATTCTCAAATAAACTGAAATAACTTCTGATACTATCGAAGAAACGTTGCGTCCAATTTATTCGAGTTTATTTGAGTCAAATAATTATTCCTTGAATTCGCGAAATATATTTTTTTTGGTACTCTATTCAAATAAATATTTCTCTTATTCATTAACATTTTTCTTCTCAGTGTACAAGACAATTCATACATTTGCAGCCTCCCACCATTTTTTGGTCGAACTAATTTTTGTATACCATTATATAAAGAAAACTGAAAATTACTCTTCTCTTTCCTTTTTTATTTTTAACAGCCAGAGCAGACGCGTTGCGAGGGTCAGGATTCGACAAAAAATTGGTATAAAGCGGTATTGTGGTAGGAGAAGTCCTTCCGGAAGGACGACGGGATAGGTGGAGGGTTCAGGGGCCTTTCATGGGGATGCTGCGAAATCAGTCGTGAAGTCGTATGGGGGTTAGGTTTGCTGGTGGGGTAAGTCCTGTGCACCACGAGGGTGCAGCTCACTCAGTACATCGCGGATCGTTAAGCACGATCGTCGATAATCCACAGAACGTGTCTTTCAAAGTCTCCTGTGTGGTTTGTTGCTTAAAAAGTGGAATTTTGAAAGTGCACTTTGGGACGCTTCGCTCTTTCCCGCAGAAAGAAGTTTCCGAGTCACTCATGTGCCGCGCGTAAAAAAAAAGCAACAGGAAACGAAGAAATTTATTTAAAAAACATTTCAACATTTTCATTCTAACATCTAAGTGCCTTAGACAATTTAGAGGACTTTATGATTCCTTTTGGAATTAAGTATTTATATTTTTTCCCGCAATATTTGATATTACATGTGACTCTTGGAATTTCAGGAGAAGATGTTCCACGTGCGAATCTGTGAAGTTGACTGAGACTAATTAATATTTCAAATGGGACTAGTGCCGGTGAAAGTTTAAAGATACTTAATTACGGATTTACGAGTGAATCTTGAAAGTTTATCCACCGTCGATCAGCACTTCGATCATCGATCATCGATCCTAAGTTTCAGTTTCCCTGCAGTTGGCGTCATCTCACTTAACAGCTGCATTAATGTACGCTCTTGAAGAAGATTGCAGAAGTTCCGAGATGCTCTTTATCGTTAGGAAAAAACAGAATCGGTAACAATCTCCTTTTCCAATTGCCCATCGATAGAGTTTGGCAGCAGCCTTAGAAATCCCAGAGAAGCCAAATCAGAGCAGATTCATTAGATACGCTTCGGCGGAAATTTCCGGGCGAGAAATCGAAGGTGGAGATTTCTTCTCCTGAAGGAAACAAGGCACAAGATTGATATTTAATTTAAGATAAATATTGTTATATTTTTTAAAACAAAAAGGAGTCACGCTTAAAAAATTCTGCCAAAGGCTCTTATCATCCATTTCCGAAAGAAAGATCCCAAACATATCTTAATTATGAAAAATTATAAACCATAATTCCTAGAGAGGATAAATCAGCACAAAGAATTTCTAATCGTCGGAAAGGTGTAGAAAAATAATGCAAGATTGGAATTTAATTTAAGATCGGAGCTTTTATAAAGAGGAAACCTTGATGCACGGGTTCAAGAAGCTTTCCGATCGTATACGCGAAATTGATAAATAATCCTTTGGAAATAAGCACTCGCTATTCTTTGCCTTGTGGCAATAAACTCAGCGAGTAACTGTTGCAAATTTGGCGGAATAAATCTCTCGAATATAAGAAAGATCGAGAGATCCGGAAATTTGGAATGCCGCAGGGATTGAAATAACACTTTTAACGTGAAAGCACAGGCATGGATCGGCGCGATCGAGAATAGATTAAGCCTGTATGATCTGTAAGATCGAAAGTCTTCCAAGGTCGAAATATTTCAAGAACGAAGACAGAGTGGATCAAGAAACGACACGATTTGCGATAAATTCGAATTCTGATGCAATTTGATTCCTGGCCTGATTTAAATGTCTTTGAAATAATCATAGAAGCCATTTTTATTCCCAACTTTAAACGGGAAGCACATCCGGAATAGCGGAGAAAACTGAAAAACAATGTGCTAGAAGAAAAAAGAGAATATCAGAGGAATGACGAACCGATTGATGCGATGTCAATAACTTAATAGTATATAATTTTATTTTAAATTATTAGTGATTTTAAAGAAGCGATGTCAATAACTTAATAGCATGTAATTTTATTTTAAATTATTAGTGATTTTAAAGAAGCGAGACGATTTGCGGTAAATTCGGATTCTGATGCAATTTGATTCCTGGCCTGATTTAAATGTCTTTGAAATAATCATAGAAGCCATTTTTATTCCCAACTTTAAACGGGAAGCACATCCGGAATAGCGGAGAAAACTGAAAAACAATGTGCTAGAAGAAAAAAGAGAATATCAGAGGAATGACGAACCGATTGATGCGATGTCAATAACTTAATAGCATATAATTTTATTTTAAATTATTAGTGATTTTAAAGAAGAGACGATTTGCGGTAAATTCGGATTCTGATGCAACTTGATTCCCAGCCTGATTCGAATGTCTTTGAAATAATCATAGAAGCCATTTTTATTCTCGATTTTAAACAGGAAGCACATCCGAAATAGCGAAGAAAACTGTTTGAGAAAATGTGCTAGAAGAAAACAGAAAATATCAGAGGAGTGACGAACCGATTGAAGCGATGTCAATAACTTAATAGCCTGTAATTTTTAAAACGGCACAATAAAAAGACGAAGGGAATTGACGTAATCTAAGTGCGACTCGGATTAGATCGCTCTCAAAGCAAACACTCGATCCCTCGTCATAACATTAAACAAAAGAAGCAGCTGCAAAGCCAAGGCGAAGCTTTCGGAGAGAAAGCGAAAATGCTCGAAGAATTGCTCGAAGAAATGAAGAGCGAACGTCGAAAGGTCGAGATCGTGCGAAAATAGAAGAACGTCTTCGGATAGCTCTTCAGAGTTGAGTCACCGCAAAGTTCGGAGGTTCGTCGTCGGCTAAAGTCAATTTTTTTTTTTTTTTAAATAATTGAAGGGTCTATTATTTTACCAAAACGCCGGCTGACATCAAAGGACCCTCGGCGCTGACTAATTGACATCTTCGAGAGACATCGTCAAGATGTCATCCTGAAATTCTTTTCTTAAGTGCGTGCTGGCGATTTGCCCGTTCTTCGGAATTCCGAGATGCCGATGTTGCGGGAAATGATAGATGCGTGAGAAACTATACTGCCCCTGTAAGAAAAAAAAACACTTAGGTTTTCCCGCCTGGAATAGTATTTCCAGAAATAATCCAATCAAAGCGGTGCAATTTAGAGATCGCTCATCAAAGTCCGGAATTTTGTCCACGTGAAAGAAAGAGACGGTCCCCAGAAATGGTCTAACCGAAACCGGGCGAGTGGGAAAAGTTAGGGCTCTGAAAAAAGACCTAACTCCTCTCCAGACTTCAAGGGAGATCTCGGGCGGATCCAGAATTTCCCACTTGTTGAAGTGCCCCCTGAAGAGGCCCGGTATCGGGCACTCGAGAGTCCCGGGACGTCTTGGGGAACTCTTTCAGGTTCTCCAATCTCGGAAGGTGGTGCACCGGATCGATCCCGAAGAGCTCCTGGAATCGGGCTCTCGAGCCGAGGTGCTGTTTTAATTTTAAATGCGGACTTCGAGAGTCTCTTCAAGGACCGACTCCGGGGCTCTGTGATGATCGAACATGGCGCCGGGAAGGATCCTCTTGGTGCTGGTCCTGATCGCCGAGGTCGGCAGAACCCTGCCGTCCAGCAGTCACTCGGTCACCCGGAACGTCTTCGGGGTGTCCTTGCCAGAGGGCCACATGGAGATCGTCAAGGAGGAGAGGTGCTCGGACGCGATCATTCGGCTGACCTGCAGGTCCCTCAGGGCTATCATCTTTGTCCTGGAAGCCGAGCTCCGGACGAATCGCTCCGAAACTTGCGGATACGACCTGAAGAAGATCCAGAGCTTTGGCGAACGCTGGGCCAAGGTGAACCGCAAGGCTATCCTGAGGAAAACTTTCAGGAACCTCAGGGGAAATTACATCCTGGAAGATGAAGAGGAGCCTACCAGAATCGATCTTAGGACATCCTTGAATAGGAGGTAATTCTTTTTATTTGTAGATTTGCAATAATACAAGGTACTGTCAATGTCTTAAGGTGAAGTGAAACCCCCTTCAAATCAGTCGATTCGAATGCAACGCTTTTTTTTTTAAGGGTATTAAACCAAACTGCCCGAAAAATTGACACATTCAAAACTTGGATTTTTGGAAAAAATTGTTTAACTTAGCCCAGACCAAAACTAGAATGGCGTCGAGCTCTCATATTTCGATCAATATACAATTATCGAAAGCTCTGATATGAAAAACGAAAGGGTCAGGACAATTGTACCGACAATTTAGAATACGCTGGTAATTGAGAAACTCGGATTTGAACGAGATAAAGGCAAAAAGACTGTTTTAAGCGCTTCTATGCCAAAACGATGGTAATAAGAGGTCTCGGAGAGAAATTTAATTGACCTGGAAATCACAGATGGCGCAGGGGGTCCCTCTGCAGTCAACTAGAGCCCCAGAAAGCATGAATCCAGAGGATTTCTGGAGTTTTACTTCGATTTCTTTATAATTATTGTACAAAAACGACAGATGGAGAATGCCATTTAGTACATTACCCAATATAATTCGACACAGCCGTCAATATAAAAACGAACGTCGGTGACTTAGGTATTTAGAAGAAACTTTTTTATCGACGTCGATCAAGTTCGTCGACGTGTTTCACTTCACCTTAAGATGAAACGTCTGGGTGGTTTTCATAAATTCCATAATCAATAATTTACGACTTAAAGGCAACAGTGCGTCGCAGAGGGTTGGCCGTGACTTTTGAAGGTGCGTCGTTATGTATCAGTTGACACTAACGGTGATTCCTTGTTTCTTGTATCTGGGAACAATGAATGGCTTCCAGGGTAATGTGAGACACCTTTAAGCATCCGCAGGAGAGAGTTTCAGGATATTAAATTTCATTCCCGGTCGTATCTCCACCGACCACAAAGTAGAAAACGCGACTTACTTCCTCCGCCTTCTTTCCTCCACATTTCTGCATACCGTGGGATAGGAAAGAGCTAAAAATTAAAGCAGGTATTCATTTCAAATTCAGTCCGATTCAAATTAGCAAGGAAATGTTTGAGAAAAGATTAATTCACCCCCGATGCCACTCATCGAGATCTTTATGGATCCGTAATGAAATTATCTGGAAAATGTCCAGGAATTTTTATCCCTAATTATCGGAAGAACAATTTTTCTGAACGGTCAGTTCTCCTTCGATTCCATTATAGACAAAATAATGCATTCAAATTACGGGAAAGGAACCGAAAAATGTATTTTCGATAAAATAACAGAGGCTTAAGGTGATACGAAAGGCTCATTCTATACATTTTCATCCCTAGGAATTTTTATCCCTAATTATCGGAAGAATAATTTTTCTGAACGGTCAGNAATATAATTCGACACAGCTGTCAATATAAAAACGAATGTCGGCAACGTAGGTATTTAGAAAAATCTTCTTTATTGACGTCGATCAAGTTCCTCGAATATGTAACTATTAATCCAATTTTTAATATTTCACCATATAATATAATATAATATATAAATATATATATGTAACTATTAATCCAATTTTTAATATTTCACCACACATCCCGCTATTTATTTAACATCATATTTTTATGCTCTGAGAATTCGATTCTGTTAATGTTTACAGATGTTTCGATCTGCATATTCGGATCCGATATCTGGGACAATATGTACCGAAAATCTGTAAATATTGTCTGATAATAATAATAACCGAAAGCATCTGTGCGTGCATGAATTTTAGTTGGGGTACGCTCTGCTGGGAAATCGGGAGAATTTACGCTAGCATTTTGTCAAAAGGCGGAATGTATTATAATGCTCGTTCTCTGTGGCCAGATAAATATAAATGTCAAAGATTGCAGGGAATGGAGTGCAGATGTGCGGAGGAAAAGGGCCGATCTCACCCTGGTGGAGTAACGGAGGGTTGCTTTTGATCTGCTACACGTTCGCCATAAAGCTGCGTCCACAAAGGCTGCAGGACCGCTTGCGTGCCGGTGTGAACAACCCTAGTAGCATAGAATAATTTCTAAATATTTCTTTGTAATCTTTGCTAAATATCTCAAGCGACAGATTTTTTAAGATTTCTCGTAGATTTCATTCGATGATATTTGAAATATTTCTTGAAAATCTCAATGACATATTTAGTTTCAGTAATGTATAAACATATATAGAAATTACATTTTTTAATTTATGAACATGTAACAAAAATTCATTTCTTTAGTGCACGACTATTATCGGACACTTCATTTGGTATCAAAAAGCACGGGAATTTTTTCTAATATTTTCGTTCCGCTATTTTGTTATGGGAGCAAAACGTGTGATTTTGATTTTAAGTATTTTTAAAACGTTTATAATGTATTCGGCGGATAATATTTAAAAAATACTTGAATTAAAATGAAACGAAATGTTTTGTATATCTGGTAGAAAAATATTATGAAAACAAATGGAGCTAATATTATATAAATATTATAGGGATAATATTCTAAAGTAAACGTTTTGCAAATATTTCGAACGTCTGGTAAATATTTACAAAATGTACGATATTCGTTAAATATATAGAAAGTATAGGATAAATATTTTGTGCTACTAGGGTAGTAGCACAAACCATTTGTCCTATATTTTCTATATATTTAACAAATATCGTACATTTAGCAGACATTTGAAATATTTGCAAAACGTTTACTTTTGAATGTTATCTGTGTATGTGTGGAATATTATATGTGGTTTCATAATATTTTTCTAACAGATATACAATACATTTCGTATCATTTTAATATAAGTATTTTTTTAATATGATCTGCCGAATACATTATACACGTTTTAAAAATATTTAAAATCAAAATTACACGTTTTGCTCCCCTGATGAAATAGCGGAACGAAAATATTATAAATATTTGTCACGTTTTTTGATGCCAAATTAAGTGTCCGATAATAATCGTGAAATAATTAATGTGTATTTATTATATGTTCATAAATTGTTAAAACTAAATACGTAATTGAAACTTTCAACAAATATTTCAGATGTCTTCGAATAAAATCTGCGAGACATCTTAAAATATCTGTCTCTTGAGATATTTAGCAAAGATTGAAAAAAAATCTTTGGAAATTGTTCTATGCTACTAGGGAAATTCTTTCCCAAAAGTCTGCCTCGCATTGTTATTCAAAATTTGGCAAAATATCGCATCCTATAGTGGTGCATCACAAAAATTTTAGATTCCTCTTGAATTAACTTATGTACAATAAAGCCATCACGTATCAGAGGAAATTCTTTTCAAACCACTTTTTTTTTCTTTTTTTCAAATGCCGAATAACCATCTTCTGTAAAATATTTGGTTATGAAATATTTGTTTTACTATCAGCCGCGATATCGCGATTTATTTAACGTGTCGATTAGTAGGATCCATACGAGTACACGACATTAAATAATTGTCCGTGGAAATCGATTAATTGTTGAGGGTTTAACAACGTTTTAAATTTTCGCGAATTTTCGAATATGCTGGAAATCAAGTGGGGAGATAAAAAAAAATTGGAAAGATTTCGTTCCGCGAAGAAACTTATTTCCCTCGCATTTCCGCCTACGTGCCGAACAACTGGCTGCAATAAAACGTAAACCCTTGAGGGATCGGGGGTGGAACCCCTTTGGCTCCGAAAGGGTGAATCGACCCTCGCCAATATACCCTCTCTTCCACCGTCTAACCCTTCCAGACCAGACAACCACGTCAATTTCTATGTAGGTTTACTTCCCGTTTCAGACTCCCTTTAGTCCCTTGAAAAATCTTCGTCTCCCTTGCGTCAACAGAGCACGTGCCGGGATAGGCATTCCTCCACTTTATCGTCAACAATTAATCGGTTTATCGAGCGTACACTCGCGAGGTAATGCGTATTCGACAAGGCTCATCTCTCATATAAAACTGACATCCATCGATCCTAGTCCGTATTCGTTAAGGTGATATGAAATCAAATCAATCGAATCACTCGAGTCAAATAAGATACTTTTTTTAAAAAGATATTGGATTCAAGTGCCGGAAACTTTGACACATGACTCGTGAGCACCTAGGAATTATCCGAACACTTTCAACATTTGGATTTTTCGAAACAATTTTTCACTTAGGCCAGACTAGAACCAAGATGGCGTCGAGCTCTCATATTTCGATCGATATGCAATTATAGAAGACTCTAATGTGAGAGACGAAAGTGTCAGGACAATACTAGGACAATTTGGAACACTCTGGTAATCAAGAAATTAGCATTTGAACGGGATCAAAGCAAAACAAGTGTCTTATGAGCGGATATGCCAAAACGATGGGGATATGAAGTCTCGGAGTAAAAATCTAGTTGATCTGGAAATCACAGATGGCGCAAGGGTCCCTCTGAAATCAATTAGGGCTACAGAAACCATGAAGCAATAGAATTTCTGGAGTTTTACTTCGATTTCTTTATAATTATTGTACGAAAACAACAGGTGGAGTATGCCATTTGGTACAATATCCAATATAATTCGACACAGCTGTCAATATAAAAACGAATGTCGGCAACGTAGGTATTTAGAAAAATCTTCTTTATTGACGTCGATCAAGTTCCTCGACGTGTTTCACTTCAGCTTAAGGCTTTGCGAAAACACGGTGACTTCTCCTGGAAAGTATACATTATTTATTATTACATCACTCTTAATTAACTTTTTCCTAAAGAAGATAATAAATGGTAATTAATTATTTTTAAATCTAGGATATAAATCATTAACCATTAGACCGGATACGCGGATTTCCTTTGACCTGTACCAAAGGTTGCGGGAAAAGTCTGATTACCTAATGCAACGAGGCAGCTTTTCATTTCATCAGTTCGCTTGGTATAACACCTTTGGCATTAAATGTAAAAAATTAAAACTTACGTTATTTGTATTTCTGAAAGTAACAAACTGGAACGTGGAAGTAATATTTTGGCGCATCCGTTTATGTGCCTCACCCCTATAAATTTATTGGCAAAGTGAGACCGTACATCCCGAAGACGAGTACCTTAATCTCATTTTCCCCTTGCGTAGGTGTAGACATATGCCGATCGATGATGAGCACGCAAATCGCTCTTTGTCGATTAATAATTGCCCATCGCGTGAAAATTCCCCTTCTTCTGTCCAGATGTTCCGGCCTTCAGCACTGCCGGTACAACATTATGACGGATCATCCCGCTGCGTCCTACTGGAATCCGGCGAATGTGCATTTAAAATACGCCTGTATTCCAGGTAAGTTTATTTTTGCTTATATATCGAGGGAATATAGGGGAAACAAATATAAAAAAGAACCCAATGTCTTTGACTCCACTTACACATCGCAATTATATACATATTTTACTCGACTGACTACGGCGAGACGCAAATTTAATATTTAAGGTGATATGAAAGGCTCATTCTACACATCAAATATTTTTACATATATATACATATATATAATAGATATACATATATATAATGACCCTTAAGGTGATATGAAAGGGTCGTTCTATACATCGAAACGGCAAACTATTTATATTACTTTTCTTCAAACTGGATGCATCGAATCATTTGAAACTTTATTATGAAAGTCTTAAGGAAAAACGCGATGCTCGTGAAATTTCGTTTTTCCACACAAAATTTGTATTTATCTCGGACAAGAACGAAGAAAAGGCATTTTTTTTCGAAAAATAAAATTTCACGAACATCGCCTTTTTCCTTACAACCTCCATAATCACGTACTAATGTTTTACATCATTTGGAACATCTAGTTTGGAGAAAAGTTTTATAAATATTTCGACGTTTTATATATCTATAATGGCTCTGGCATACTGCCTTAAGGTGACATGGATATATATATATAAAACATCCACATATTGATCAAATTTCTCTTCAAACTAGGTGCACCGAATCATTTGAAACATCAGCACGTGATCATGAAGGCCCTAAGAAAGAACAATGCTCATGAAATTTCATTTTTCAATACAAAATTTGTATATATCTCGGACAAAAACCAAGAAGGCATTTATTTTCGAAAAATGAAGTTTCACGAACATCGCGTTCTTCCTTACGACCTCTATAATCACGTATTACTGTTTTACATAATTTGGAAAAAAGTTTTATAAATATTTCGACGTTTTATATATGTATAATGGCTCTTTCATATCGCCTTAAGGTGACATGAATATATCTATAAAACATCGAAATATCGATCAAACTTCTCTTCAAAGTAGGCGCACCGAATCATTTGAAACATCAGCACGTGGTTATGAAGACCCTAAGAAAGAACACAATTCTCGTGAAATTTCATTTTTTGATACAAAATTTGTATTTATTTCGGACGAGAACCAAGAAAAGGCATTTATTTTCGAAAAATGAAGTTTCACGAACATTGCCTTTTTCCTTAGGGCCTTCATAATCACGTGTTAAAGTGTCAGATAATTCGGTGCTCTCAGTTTGGAGAATAGTTTTATCAATATTTTCACGCTTCGATATGTATAGAATGACCCTTTTACATCACCTTAAATTGCCGCTACTTGATTTTTCCTCGCCTCGCGGAATCTCTGCTCTCCGAGGCATCATCTTCATCACGTAGTTTGAAAATTGCCGCAACAAATTCGGACATTTTTCACTTGGCATTCGTCGGTGCACTCAGTTTGGAGAATAGTTTTATAAATATTTTCTCGCTTCGATATATATAGAATGACCCTTTTACGTCACGTTAAATTTCCGCTACTTGATTTTTCCTCGCCTCGCGGAATCTCTGCTCTCCGAGGCGTCATTTTCATCACGTAGTTCGAAAATCGTCGTAACAAATTCGGACATTTTTCACTTGGCATACGTCGGTGCACTCAGTTCGGAGAATAGTTTTATAAATATTTTCACGCTTATATATGTATAGAATGACCCTTTTACATCACCTTAACCATTTGACTGCTACGCGGCGCAAAAGCGCTGCGTTCATTTGTCTCGAAAACCGCGACGCAGCGCTTTTGCGCTGCGAGTTTCAGTGTATCTTTGTTGCTCCGCAGTTTTCGTGCTTTCTTGCAAAAATTGCTTAGCAGTCAAACGGTTAAATTAGCGCTACTTGATTTTTCCTCGCCGCGCGGAATCTCTGCTCTCCGAGGCATCATCTTCATCACGTAGTTTGAAAATTGCCGCAACAAATTCGGACATTTTTCACTTGGCATTCGTCGGTGCACTCAGTTTGGAGAATAGTTTTATAAATATTTTCTCGCTTCGATATGTATAGAATGACCCCTTTACGTCACCTTAAATTTCCGCTACTTGATTTTTCCTCCCCTCGCGGAATCTCTGCTCTCCGAGGCGTCATTTTCATCACGTAGTTCGAAAATCGCCGTAACAAATTCGGACATTTTTCACTTGGCGTTCTCCCGTTTATCCTTGGCGCCAGTCCCGTGGGCGCGAGTCGCGTGCCACGAATCATAAATTCGAGGTAGATTGGCATCGGGCCGTTCGGCAGCAGCTGTAGATTTGCGAGCTGCTACCCCCGTTTCTGACCTTCCGAGGGGTGCACCGCCCTTCGACGTGGGATCAGACATTTGGGGCTGAATTCGTTCCAGGGGTGGTTCGAACCAGCAGCGCATTAAGGTGGGCATACGACCCAAATTATGCGGAGGCTAAAAAGTATAAGGACGCCGATGTTCCCAAGGAAGTCGGCCTTTCTCAAAGCCCGTGCGAAAAGGGACGCCTTCAAAGAGCGCGGAGCTATAAAAATAAAAACTCGACCTTTCTTTTGTGAAGGAGGCGAATCCCTGGATTTCTATGCACACCGATTCGATGTGCTTTCTCAAAATTAAGTCCTCCTCGGGTTTCGAAGGCACGATCGGTTTTTCTTCTTCGTATTTAATGGCGATCTCACGCTCATAGCTGATGTGCACTTCCGCAGATAAGTATCCTGGCATTTATTCTAAGTGGATTTGAACGGAAAAGTAAAGAAAGGGCGCGTTATTATCGTTAAATTGACACTTCTTTGAATGTTGATTCTGTATTTAAACGAGGGTGAATAGACGCCCATCTTGTGACTAAACTTCAATTATCAGACAAACAAGCAAACACGTGTAGGAGGTGCAATTACCCAAAGGCGAATCTACTATTGACAAGTCTATATTTTCCGTAGATTCACAGGTATAGTTATTTGACTTAATGTTAACACTAGGTTTACGGGCGTTTTATATATACCTGTTTCTACGAGCATCCGTCAAATTGACGGGCAAACGAAAACACGCATTTTCTTTAAAAAATCGATTTATTCAAATTAAGTCTGCATTAAACAACCCTAGGCTTTACGTTTAAATGAATTATTAATAAGTAAAAAGTCCTTTTTTAAAAATTACCACGGAAATGATTGGAATGCTCGTCCTCTCATCCTCGGAGTTAGAACTAGAAAGAATGCGCATCCTTTTCTTGCTACGACACCCTTTCAAGAAGTTTTCCTCTTCACTATCCGAAGATCCTTCTATCTTTCCACTTTCAATGCAAACTTTCACTCTCATCTTCGCCTTACACTCTCTGCAACGAAGCAAATATATATGGATTGTTTATGAAATTAGCTAGTCCGTCAATTTCACGGGTTTCGTAGAGATAGGTACACTACATACAGATTTTAATAATTAGAAGGCTTAGGAAAAAATAATCGTGTGTACAAATTCTTTGGATGAAATGATTAATTTACGATACAAAAATGGTTAAAATTAATGCTATGGTTTTTTCGGTATTTCTTTTCGAAGTTTGAATTCCGTAAAATTGACGGGTCCCGTAAACCTAGTGTTAAAGAAGACGTATATAGAATAGATTAGTGCGTTCCGTTCTGCGATCCTCAACTAAGTGCCGTCCCGTCCACTGTTCGCAGGAACCGTCTTGGTCTAGCCGTATCAATTGTTTAAGCCATGCTCATAACTTCTAAACATGCTCGCTTTTCCTCGCCCATGATTCTGGAAATAGGTCCGTCTATGGACCTCCGATCATTTTGCCTTGCCTCTTCGAAATATTTCCTTCACACGTGAAGATTAGTACGATAGATAGGCGAATAGATGTAGAGTTCGAAAATTCTCGGTAACATTAAATTGGAGAAGGTAACTGTGAAACATACCGTAAGTTACCGGGAACATTGAGAATTTAAGAGAACGTTAATTTTGTTATTTATACTTTAGGTTTCTTCGTTTAAATAACTTTTTTTTTTTCAATCAACTTCAAAGTTCAAGCTATAGAGNATTTTTAATTATTCTTTGGTACTCGAAAATAGTTAGATATTAAATGACAAATCAGACTTTCAATGAAATTATGTAATGATAAACTATCTGATTTTACTTAAAGACAATTAGGATTTCGTTTGACTAGGAAACAATGACTGATAATGTATATGCGCGTATGAATTAAAGTCACATTCTTTCATATGAGTAGTAAACAAAATATGACATATATTAATCTTATGACATTTGACGATGAATTATGACAATGACGATGACGATGATGTAATAAAATAGATGACAGTTAGCACCAATGTAGCTCTGTTTTGTTACAAATATGTGCTGCATATACACAGTAATATCAGGACAGTAACATAATGTAAGATGAGAGGAACAAAGTTATGCTACATTTATATAAATATGATACTTACAAATATCATGTAACTAATTAGCTCTATGTTACGTAACTGTTAGGTTATTACGTTGTAACAAACGTTATGTTATTTGTTAGCTTTAAGTTACGTAACTGTTAGGTTTGGTGTTCAGTTGGTAGATGAACTGTTCACGTGGATCTATGTCAGACAGTTTCTGAGAAAGTTCCTTTAACGCGATCTTATACATTAAGCAGGATAAAGTGATATAACGTTCGTGGTTGGTTCCACAGGATGTTGCCCCAGAATCCGAATCTTGGATTTTTACTCATTTAAGATGATACGAAAGGCGCTGAGAAATTTAATCGACGCTGATAACTTAAAATTCATCTATGCCCTGTTTGGTGGTAACGTCATTTTGAATACTAAAGTGCAAACATAAAGTGGCGCGTCCCGTTACCGATATTTATATTTATATTTAAGTCTTTTACAGTCTACGTTAAGAATTATACAAACTAAAGCGCCACATGTGTCATTTCGGTAAAGTAATGACGAAGAGATCGACGTAAAACTGTCGAAATCCCATAAAATCATTATTCTAACGACTGTTTAGGACCAACGTCGCCATCTGTGACGTTCAGCTGCAACTAAATTATTGCTCTAATCCAATATTTTCTTGCAATTGTTGGTGAAAGTATTTTCCATATTTTTCCATCTGACTCTGTAATATTCCATTTCTACGATATTGTAAATTGTTCGAGCTAAGTCCTGAAACTCTTCATTTTCGGTTCTAAGCCTCCAAGAAGCGTAAAACATCGAAAACGTACACGGGCCACACCGTGTTGGTTCTAGCTCATGATAAATAAATAAATTTTGAATGAAAAATGAAACTTCATGAATTTTAGAACCTACTTTCGGGCCTCCATATTCTCGTGGTGACATTTGAAACGAAGCGGTACATCCAATTCGGAGAATACTTTCCCCAACGATTTGACTTCTCAGATATATATATATATATAGGCTGACTCTTTCATATCACCTTAACGATGCGAGCGCTACTTGCGGGAAATGTGAGAATTCCGATACTACGTGACCAAAACATTTCCACTCAATATGAATAATCTAAATCGCTTTTAATTTTGCAATTCAGATACGCTACATGCAACGATCCACACATATCGTAAAGGATGTGATAAAGTGTTAAGGAATATGAGGCTCTTTATTGTAAAAGCCTAAAACTGTAATAGTAAATTCCAGAAGTTCTGGACGGAATTATATCATATTAATATGTAGTATTCACTTCATATCTCTCGCGATCAGTCGCAGCTTTTCATTTTAGTACACATCACTGTTAGAAAGGGTTCGAAATGTGTAAACAAAATTAACAGGCATTATTCAAAATATTTGAAAAATACAAGTTCAGTTTGCAGCACACTCGAACTAGAAGCGTTTTTTAAGATACGTTATTATGCAATTTTATATACATGCATGTGGATCTTGCTATAGTTTTAGTACTTTCAAATGAATAAAGTAAAGGTCTTGAAATGGTGCTCTTTGAGAGTCTTAATGTATATTCCCCTCTTTATATTTTGAGCGTCATTACTTTTAATTGTAGAACATACATGTTTTGAAAACATCGATCCCTTTCGATGGTGAAGGTGCAATTCGAATAGGTGCCTCAAGAAATATCTTCATAAAGTTATAGTATTACTGTGCGATAAATAGAGACTCGCAGTGGGGGTTAGAGAGGGAGAGTGCCAGATTTCCCCTTCGACGACCTAGAACTCCCCACTCCGGCACTTTCATCCCCTACACTTACGCCCACGCAGCGTCCCTTGTTGGATCAAATCTGGGGCAAGGACAGGCTCTCCTGCCAATTCGCATCGAGTTGCAGCGAATTCTCGGGAATCTCGGTAAATCCCCTGCTGGGACCCTTACAATACCGATCGAGTATGCGAGAGATCTATTCCAAGCTCTTAAGGTGCAGTGAAACCCCCTTCAAATCAGTCGATTCGAATACAACACTTTTTTTTAAGGGTATCAGACAAACTATCCGAATCTTTGACACATCACTCCTGATCATCTAAGAATTGTCCTGACACATTCAAAATTTGGATTTTTGGAAAAACTTTGTTAACTCAGCCCAGACCAAACCCAAAACGGCGTCGAGCTCTCATATTTCGATCAATATACAATTATCGAGGGCTCTGATATGAGAGTAGAAAGGGTCAGGACAATTGTACGACAATTTAGAACACTCTGGTAATTGAGAAACTCGCATTTGAACAGGATAAGGGGAAAAAAAGTGTTGTATGCGCTTCTATGCCAAAACGATGGGAATACGAGGTCTCGGGGTGAACATTTAATTGACCTGGAAATCACAGATGGCGCAGGGGGTTCCTCTGCAGTCAATTAGGGCCCCAGAAAGCATAAATTCAGAGGATTTCTGGAGTTTTACTTCGATTTCTTGATATTTATTGTACGAAAATGACAGGTGGAGTGTGCCATTTGGTACAATATCCAATATAATTCGACACAGCTGTCAATATAAAAACGAACGTCGGCAACGTAGGTATTTAGAAAAATCTTCTTTATTGACGTCGATCAAGTTCCTCGACGTGTTTCACTTCACCTTCAAGAACCTCCTGTGGATCCGATGCGGCATTTTTCCGCGAGACTGAATCACTTTCCTGAAAATCGGTGAACACGGAAGCGAATCTCAATCAGTTTCAATCGACTTTCCGAAGGAACCACTCAAATTACGTGAATGCCATTCCAATCGAAGGACTCAATCCTTAAATCCTTTCGACTTAAGACATTTGCGGACTTTCATACTTAGCATGGGATTTCCTCCGGATTCAAGTTTTCAGACACGCGAACTGGAATTAGCGTAATTAAATTAAAGAAATTGTCCCACGTCATAATATGTACCAACTCTAATTTACAACTACGTAGACAGTAAATTCTTTTGTTTTAATTATCAATGAATTATTTATTATCAATTTTCAGAAGGAGCAATTCGGAGATATTGCAATGTTATGGTGCAGATCCTCAGGAGAGAAGAGGGTTACATAAGGTCCCCAGGATATCCCCTTTATTACCTCGGTGGGACGTCCTGTGGATGGACCTTCAAGACCCTTCCTGGACAGAGAATATCCCTGACCTTTCACGACTTAAATATTCGCAGTAAGTGTCGAATTAACCAAAGTGTGTAAACTAAACAAACTTCTGTTTTCAATTGAATCAGTTGATTATGCGTTTTTAAATAAACTTTAATTTCGTGTAACGCCTGGGTAGGGAGAAAGAGAGAAAATCACAACCAATTGGAATTTTATCGTGAACATATATTTATATAGTTTTATAAAACGAAAGGCGGGATACTCAACATACGCCCTGTTTGGACGGTTCGACTGCTTGCGATTAACGTATACGGTTGGTTAGAACAAATTCGGATAATTGAAATTCGATAGTAAGGATGTAGATGAGCTTTGACAATTGAACCTTGACCATTGAACTTTGACAATTGAACTTTGACAATAGAACTTTGACAATTGAACTTCGACAATTGAACTTCGACAATTGAACTTCGACAATTGAACTTCGACAACTGACATTTAACAACTGAAGTTTAACAACTGAAGTTTAACAACTGAAGTTTGACAATTGAACTTCGACAATTGAACTTCGACAATTGAACTTCGACAATTGAACTTCGACAACTGACATTTAACAAGTGACTGAAGTTTAACAACTGAAGTTTAACAACTGAAGTTACAACTGAAGTTTAACAACTGAAGTTTAACAACTGAAGTTTAACCACTGGAGTTTAACCACTGAAGTTTAACCGCTGGAGTTTAACCGCTGGAGTTTAGGAACTAAAATTTAGCATCTGAACTCTGACAACTGGACTCTGACAACTAAACTCTGACAACTGGACTCTGACAACTGAACTCTGACAACTGAACTGTGACAACTGAACTGTGACAACTGAACTCCGACAACTGAATTCTGACGACTGAACTCTAATAAATGAGCTTTGACAAATAACCAACTGAATGTCCGACGAACTCGCAACTGGACTAAAACTGACAATTTTGTCTTTGATACCAGATCGGCCGACTGGCAGATTGACAGCCGGACAGTAACTGAGAATTTGACGATATCAACTAAACAACTAAACTCGAGAGGTTTTTTGGGATCGCTTAAAAACTGAAATCTTCTATGCTCCGAGCCCCAAAACTTTGGCAGGGAGGTTCAAAGGTCCCATGGGAAAGGATTAATTAGATTCTCATTGTTTCGGAAAATTCTTAAGATCGTAGATTAGTTGTAAATTCGCTAAAGTTCATAGCCTGCACATGTGCAAAGGTTTCACTATACCGTGACCTTATTCCTAAGTCCTGCATTCCCAAATTCTAATGGTTACTTATTCCTGGGTTCTGTGTACTTTAATTCGTATAACTCAACCTTCCTTAATCAGCTGTTCTACAATCAACGTTAAAACGACGATTTAAAGAGCGTAGATAGAGGTGCTGAAGGCTATTCGTATTTAATCGAGTTCAAAGGATTTCCCAGGAAATTGGGATTGCGATGTTTACTTAAAAAGTTTAATGTATTAAACCTCTATGTATTAAATTGTCGGGGAAGTGATGACGCATTTTTCAATTGCCATCTCCTACGAAAATGCGTCAACCCTTTCCTGACAACCTAATAGGATGTATGACGTCCTGCTACATACGTGGGACGTAACGTTCGCCATTCGTTATCAGCGCCAATAAAAAGTTTAATTATTTTTCTTTCATTATTCAACAGGTCCTGAGCCTGACGGCAGATGCGTAGACGTCGTCAGGATAAGGGAAAATGGGACGACCCTTTTCGAATCCTGCGAAACCTTCGCAGGGGTTCAAGTCAATTCGAAATCGAATCTTATCACTTTGGATTTGATAGCCTCGGCGAAGCTGTATCCTGCTCGAGGATTTTTCCTGCATTATCAAGGTTCTAATGAAATCATTTATTGATCGGTGAAGTCAAAGCGTTTTTTACATTCTGAAAAAGATTATAACAATAGATGAGTCAATGAGATAAAAAGTACTTAATATCGTTGCGCAATGAAGCTCGACTGTAATGCGTTTTTGCATGTGCATTTCTACTATCTTCGGAGCAATTCAAGCGAAGCATAAATTATTCATTCAAGTTGTTATTTAAATTGGCCGTAATTATTGAAGTTTGCGTAAACGAACATTTTAACTATATATCAATTTGTATATATTTTTTTATTTTAAGATACGTATTGTCCAAGAAAAATGTGCACATATTTCACTTTAAACATGAAATTCTGGAATTTTTAATATAAGGAATTTGGCATATGCAATAGCGGATTAAACTTTGTTTTCTTCCGGAAAGAAAGTTGTTAGGAAACGCGGAGAATTTTTCTTACGTAAATGTCGTGGCGGCTCGTCCAAAATAGAGAGTTTATTTTTGAGATGATGTGCCGTTTTTATATTTTGCTCGAGACGCGTTCACCCAGTGGTGCATGAAGTCATCCATACGTACCTCCCACCAAACGCACTATATCACAGTTACATAACACTGGAATAACATGATATATAACGAATGTTATTCAAAAGATACGTTAATATCATATACCGTCGAATTATTACCGTTCGGTAACACTGTTACAAACTTGTTAGCATTGCAGTTATATAATATTACCATAACATATAACATGTTACCGATATGTTATGCATACGTTACATTATTCGTTTTATAACAGTATTATATAGCTGCGGAGGAAATAGTAATACAAATCTTATTTATATATTATATGTATGTAGATTACATATTACAAAAGTTATGTAACTGTTATATTATTGTTACGTAACCGTGTTTCTTGGGATCGCATAATAGTCACCATCAGCATAACGGAAAGAACTGGCCAATCAGTTTCTAGAAAATATAATATGGCGTCCTACATCAGAAATTTCATCGACAGATTCTTATGTCCACCGGTACACAACTGTTAAGGTGAAGTGAAACACGTCGACGAACTTGATAGACGTCAATAAAGAAGATTTTTCTAAATGCCTACGTTGCCGACGTTCGTTTTTATATTGACAGCGATAAAGGCAAAAAAGTGTCTTATATGCTTCCATGCCAAAACGATGGGGATATGAGGTCTCGGAGTGAAAATTTAGTTGACACGGAAATCACAGATGGCGCAGGAGGTCACTTTGCAGTCAATTAGAGTCTCAGGAACTATGAATCCAGGGGATTTCCATAGTTTTACTTCAATTTCTTTATAATTATTGTACGTAAACGCCATTTGGTACAATACGCAATATAATTCGACACGGCTGTCAATGTAAAAACGTGTGTAGGTGTAACAATGTGTATGTACGTGTAACAATGTGTATGTACGTGTAACAATGTGTATGCACGTGTAACAATGTGTATGCACGTGTAACAATGTGTATGTACGTGTAACAATGTGTATGCACGTATAACAATGTGTATGCACGTGTAACAATGTGTAGGTTTTTAGGAAAATCTTTTCTACCGACGTCGATCAAGTTCCCCGACGCATTTCATTTCACCTTAACGCGAGGTTCGTGTGAAGGGCTTAATTTCGGACATTACCTCAAAAGTTAATAAGAAACTGCACCGTTAATAAACTCACCGGGTAAAAAGTTGTTTTGGATCGCGTATAAATCGCCTTACCTAAAACTGCGTTTTTAGAATAATCAATGCGAATGACATGTATATTGTTTCGCAGTTCTCGGCTGTCCAGAAGTGGCCCCACCAAACGGAAGTGACGTCACGGAGGCCAAAGATGGATCCAGGACCTTTTCGTGCCGCGTGGGCGCTATTTTTCCCGACACGAGGCAACGCTCCAGAACCGTCACGTGTAAGGATGGTCAATGGAACGAAACTGTCGGGAATTTTCCGGGCTGCATGGGTAAGGGGATGGGTGGAGAGAGGAAATTATGCGCAATTACTTTTGATTCGTTTTAATTTGACATCGATTACCTTTCGTGGGACCGGAAGTTATGATTCTCCGGAGAGTTAGTGGTTCATGCATGATTATTTCCTCGATCCAAGTGTGCTGGTTCGTCACGATAACAGATTCGTCCTCTTAAGGTGAAGTGAAATCCCCTTCAAATCAGTCGATTCGAATACAACACTTTTTCTTAACGGTATTGGACCGAACTGTCCGAAACTTTGACACATGACTCGTGATCGTCTAAGAATTGTCCTGACACATTCAAAATTTGGATTCTTAAAAAAAATGTTTAACTTAACTCAGACCAGAACCAGAATGGCGTCGAGCTCTCATATTTCGATCAATATACAATTATTGAAGGCTCTGATATGAGAATCGAAAGTATCAGGACAATTGTACGACAATTTAGAACACTATGGTAATCGAGAAACTCGCATTTGAACGAGATAAAGGCAAAAAAAGTGTTTTATGCGCTTCTATGCCAAAACGATGGAAACACGAGGTCTCGGAGTGAAGATTTAGTTGACCTGGAAATCACAGATGGCGCAGGGGGCCCCTCTGCAGTCAATTAGGGCCTCAGAAAGCATGAATCCAGAGAATTTCTGCAGTTTTACTTCGATTTCTTTATAATTATTGTACAAAAACGACAGGTGGAGTATGTCATTTAGTGCAGTACCCAATATAATTCGACACAGCCGTCAATATAAAAACAAACGTCGGCAACGTATTTAGAAAGAACATTTTTATCGACGTCGATCAAGTTCGTCGACGTGTTTCACTTCACCTTAAGTTTCCAAAATTAATCAGTCGGACACTATTTTCAAAACTGAAAACATGCTTTTAAAAATATTTGAAAATAGTTTCCCCTGCATTCCTGGATGAGTAAAATTAGCCCATTTTTGTCCTATGGAATTATGATATATGTGCCCTTATTAACAACTTTTATTTATTATATCTAAAGGTATGGTCTAAGGTAAGGCCGATTTAATCCGTATTGATCAGACCAGGATAGACCGGACCAAATCCGATTGAATCAATTAGTTTCTCCGTATAAACGTGGCTACACTTTGTCCGTATCAGATCTGATTTGATCTAACAAAAAAAATATACCCACGTTTATAAGAAGGATTATGTTTGTTTCAGTCGGATCTAATCTGACCTGATCCAGTCTGATCCGAATGGATCATTATGGATCCATAACCATAAACTGTATATTAAGTTATTATTAGCGCTTATACGTGCACTGGTGATAATGACCAAATAAATCGATTGCATGTACGTGCTAATCATGCAAGTGGGGTAACATTGATAAATCTTTGTATGTCCTCGAAGCTTTAAAAAACCGTAACATGTAATATTTCTTTCGATTACTGAATTTCGTTGACCACCTTCACATCGGAAGTGGGAATTGCGCGAACAAATCATAAGGGATTAAGTGAAATAATTCTCTTTAGGTAGCTAAAAAACGGTTTAACTGCAAGTTATCAAACAGAGCGATGGAAAGCGGTAGTTAAAAGCTTATCGGTAAAACAGTACTTTCACATTACCTTGAGCTACTTGAGATTCGCTATTTCCTGGGAATTCTTTACATTACCGACCCCCACGCTCCGCATTACCTATATTATAATTTAATATATTCCATTTAACCACTACTATTTTGATATAACTTACGAACCGTAATTTTTTCTCGCAGTGACTCCGTAAATTTTGCAGTACGGTGATTGTACTAACATAATTAAAAACATACGGTCTAATGATTATAAGTCACCAAATTGTTTATCGGTGAAGAAACCCTAGTAGCACAAAATATTTGTCCTATATTTTTTATATATTTAACGAATATCGTACATTTTGTAAATATTTACCAGACATTTGAAATATTTGCAAAACGTTTACTTTAGAATATTATCTCTATAATATTTATATAATATTACCTCCATGTGTTTTCATAATATTTTTCTACCAGATATACAAAACATTTCGTTTCATTTTAATACAAGTATTTTTTAAATATTATCTGCCGAATACATTATAAACGTTTTAAAAATATTTAAAATCAAAATCACACGTTTTGCTCCCATAATGAAATAGCGGAACGAAAATATTAGAAAAATTTCTCGTGTTTTTTGATACCAAATGAAGTGTCCGATAATAGTCGTGAAGTAAAAAATGTATTTTTATTATGTTAATAAGTTAAAAAATATAATTTCTCTATATGTTTATAAATTATTGAAACTAAATATGTCATTGAGATTTTCAAGAAATACTTCAAATATCTTGGAATGAAATCCACAAGAAATCTTAAAAAATCTGTCGCTTGAGATATTTAGCAAGGATTACAAAGAAATATTTAGTAATTATTCTATGCCACTAGGGAATCTGCGGTAAATCACTTTGAAATTTCCTTTCTACCTAAGAAAGCTCTCACTTGGATATCCAACATTTCTTCTTTGCACTTTATCAACGGGAAAACAGGAGCAATTAATCGCGACAATTTTTCAGAATGGCCATGCAAACTAACTCGTCTCAAGGCAAGTCAATTCCAGAACTCGTTTTCTACGTAAACGACGCGTATTCTATCGACCAGTTTTTTTACTACTCCACCATCTTGTACCGAGACTTATGACAGTACTGCGTACATAATCGCATTTGATCGAGCAGTTTCGAATCGAACGATCTTCAATTTCCCATCTCGGAGAAATTTCGATTGTGATTCTCGAGGTGAGTAAACCTATGATGAGAAAATTCCTACTTTTATGAAGCCCATTGAGTGCAGTTTCAATGGTCCTGTCTTTATTATGATATGTGGGTACACGTAAAATACGGAGAACATACGCGTAAAAAAGTGATCTACTAAAAGAAACGTTCTATCGTCCCTTTCAAATATTATCTCAGTAGGCGACTGTTTTTTCTCGAACGGTAACAATTACAATTACGTCGAGACAACTTATTGTTAGATCCATCGATGTATGTTATGTCTTTTCTCTCACGTCAAAACAAAATGTCACTTAGCCTACTTGTTGATCACATTTGATACCGTGTTAATATAACATATAGTCATCACGTTACACGAGTGTTAATTTCACCGAATCGCGATAAGATATCAAATGTATCTTCGTCTAATTAATCCAGAATAATCGGGAGAAGGAAAAGAAATGTATAAACCCTCATAAATTTCGAGTTGTGCTGGCGTAATTTCGAGTACATTAAGGTGATATGAAAGGATCATTCGGTATGTATAAAACGTCAAAATATTTGATACATATAGACATTCTATATATCAAACGTGAAAATATTTATTAAACTTTTCTCCACACTGGGTGCACCGAATCATTTGAAACATTAGCATATGATTATAGAGGTCCTAAGGAAGAACGCGATGTTCGTGAAATTTCATTTCTCGAACGAAATTTTTTTATTTAGCTTAGACTAGAACCAATATGACATCTTTTTTGTGAAAAATGAAATTTCACGATCATCCTGCTCTTCCTTAGGGCCTCCATAATCACGTGCTGATGTTTCAAATTATTCGGTGCACCCAGTCTGGAGACAAATTGTATAGACATTTTGACGTTTTGATATATATATATGTATCACCTTAAGGTGAAGTGAAACCCACTTCAAATCAGTCGATTCGAATACAACACTTTTTTTTTAAGGGTATTAGACAACCTGTCCGAAACTTTGACACATCACTCCTGATCATCTAAGAATTGTCCTGACACATTCAAAATTTGAATTCTTCAAAAAAAACGTTTAACTTAACTCAGACCGGAAGTAGAATGGCGTCGACCTCTCATATTTCGATCAATATACAATTATCGAAGGCTCTGATATGAGAATCGAAAGGGTCAGGACAATTTTACGACAATTTAGAACACTCTGGTAATCGATAAACTCGCATTTGAGCGGGATAAAGGCAAAAAAAGTGTTGTATGCGCTTTTATGCCAAAACGATGGGAATACGAGGTCTCTAAGGGAAAATTTAATTGACCTGGAAATCACAGACGGCGCAGGGGGTCCCTCTGCAGTCAATTAAGGCCCCAGAAAGCACGAATCCAGAGGATTTCTGGAGTTTTACTTCGATTTCATTATAATTATCGTACGAAAACGACAAGTGGAGTATGCCATTTAGTACAATGCCCAATATAATTCTACACAGCTGTCAATATAAAAACTAACGTCGGCAACGTATGTATTTAGAAAAATCTTCTTTATCGACGTCGATCAAGTTCCTCGACGTGTTTCACTTCACCTTAAGGTGATGTTTTGTTAACTTAAGGTCTCCATATTCACGTCTTAAAGTATGAAACGATTTGAGACCCCCAGTTCTATGAAAAGTTTCATGAACGATTGAGCTTTCGGATGCCACTTTCACATCCCCTTAACTGGCCGATCGGTCTATCAGGCTTTGGGTGGGACGCTTTTTTTCAATTCTTCAATTCTTTTCAAATTTGTTAATAGGTATTACAAGAATAGTTTATAAAAAATGAAATTTCACGAGTTTCATGAGCTACCTTAGGGTCTTCATATTCACGTTTTAAAGTATGAAACGATTTGAGACACCGTAGAAAAGTTTTATGAACGATTGAGCTTTCGGATGCCACTTTAACATCCCCTTAATTGGCCGATCGGTCGACCGGGCTTTGGGTGGGACGCTTTTTTTCAATTCCTTTCAAATTTGTTAATAGGTATTACAAGAATAGTTTATAAAAAATGAAATTTCCCGAGTTTCATGAACTACCTTAGGGTCTCCTTATTCACGTTTTAAAGTATGAAACGATTTGAGACACCGTAGAAAAGTTTTATGAACGATTGAGCTTTCGGATGCCACTTTAACATCCCCTTAATTGGCCGATCGGTCGATCGGGTTTTGGGTGGGACGCTTTTCGATTTTGGCCTCATGGTGCCCCGAAAATGTGATACGGTCCTGAACGGAGCTCGTCGCCCCATGTCCATCCATTGGTATCCAAGGGGGAAGGAAAAGTTCGTGGTGGGGCGCCCAAGAGAGTCGTAGGGTATCGGCGTCGTTCCGCGATATACTTGGATATACCCGCCGACGCCAGCCGTCTCGACGCCACGTGTAGCTCCCTCTTCGTCCGGGCTCACAGAGAGATATACCTTCGAAATCGTACAAAAGGTTAGTCTCGAAGATTTCATTCCTCCGGAATTCTTCGACCACTCGATGCCGCCGTGAAAAAAGAATTACTAGACTTCTAGTAAGAAAAAAAACATAGAAAAAGATTCAATTGAACCCACCCGACCGATTCAAATACAATTGAAATGCAATCGATTGGAATAAAATCTGAGAGGGTATTTTCTTCGCTCTATTAAATGGCATTTTAATTAAAACAGTGGTCGATGAATTTGTCGTTGGAAGATGATTAATATTTATTTATATCACATCCACGGGGGAAATTATATTTCCGATAGCGAGGCAATCGTCGAATCGTTAGTGGCAAAGTGATGAGCACTTTTCAAATTATTATTGTGAAAACTTTGAAGAGAATCTAGTGAGCGCGGGAATTCATTCCATTGTGTGTAGTACGTGGATAATGATTTTGGACGAGAGCTACGCTTTGTTCCCGCCGGTTGGCAATTTGAGGAATTAACGACTTGCTCGGTTGCTTGAAATTGCGTTAATGATACTCGAGGAGGGTCCATTTTGAAAGAATGGTACCTCTTTGCGTGATGGAACCTCGTAAGGAAATCTGATAAGGATAGAGCTTCTTTTCTTATTTCGTTCCAGATAAGCAACTAGGTTATTGATAAATTAAACAAATATGGAATGAGAATAACAGGTATTCTCAAGCACACCAGCTGTTTCGACAGGGCGAGTTACGATATTTATTCTTACAGACGAAGAACTAAAAAGCGAATTGAATCATTTGAATGACATGAAAAAAAAAAAAGTCAAAAACGAACCTCAGTTATTCCTCTCGTATTAGTGTTTCATAACTAAAAACAAAAATGTTACGTTACAGAGTCAGTCGTCTTTTAGTCGAGTAATTATTTTAAACTGCATTTAATGAAATGTCTCGTGAGTATTTATCAGCCAACCTTATCAGGCGAAGTCCATGTTTAACCCGAGATTTCACGAGATATTTACGTCACGGATGAAATAACGTTTAAAAGTCTTTATATTTCATAACTAAAAACAAAA